GTGTGTGTGAGTGTGTGTGAGAGAGTGTGTGTTTGTGATTGTGTGTGTAAGAGTGTGTGTTTTGTTGCTCTTCATCACGTGGCTCATCATGAATCTGTTTCCTCTCATTGAATCTCTGTGTGTATCGTGTGGCGTCTCATGTGTGGGGTGTGTCTCTCTCTGTCCCGTCTCTCCTCAGATGTGTTAAAGGGTCTCATGTCAGGGGCTCAGGCTGCTCTGCCGCCACACTTACAGCTGGCTTTCTCAGGTAAACGCTGAGTGAGCGACGCTCCCGCTGCCTGCATGCGTGCGTTTGCGGCTTTCTTCATCATCGTCAGTCGGGACGAGTCGCTGTGCTTCATTACTCTCTCTCTCTGTATCTGTGTGCAGATGTCAATCAAACTCAGGGCGGAGACTTGAAGAGGAAGTCCTTATGACATCACAGAACTCTGATCCGGGACTGACTCCGCCCACTTGATCTGCTGGCCATCCAATGAGACCGTTTTTATACACATTTGAATATTGATGCTGATGGATGATGTTTGTCTGAATGATGATCAGTGGGTTGTATGTATGTATCAATGTTTACACAGACAGACCTGATCACTGTGACAGGGAGGGAAACACGTGTGTGTGTGTGTGTGTGTGTGTTAGTGCGCAGCTTCTGTAAATGAGGGTTTTTTTAAGGTGTGGAGTATGATTATTGATGAGCGGATGAGTGAAGGTGTTCCTCCCTCTCTGGTGTAGGTCGGTGTCTCCGGTGCTGTTCACCAACACAACACCCCTTTAAATGTTCAAACAAACTGAAAACCAAATGCTGAAGAGCATTGTAATGTACTTGAATTTTCAGGATTTGTTTACTTGCATTTCAGGACACGAGCAAAATAAAAATGCAGAAGCCTTAGTCAAAACTCTGCCTGTGTCTGTGAGGTTTCTGCTGTTTGTTCACGGGATTCCCACTGGTTTTGGTCTAGAATGTGAAGTTTTAGCAGTTTAGAATAAGAAAGACTTGCTTTCTCTCAGAGCAGTCTGTTTATTGAAGCGTATTCAAGCATCGTTTCATTCTTGAACTGAAGTAGGTTCGGCAACATTTGATCAATTATAGATTTTTTCCCCCACGTCTAGTTACACAAGTATCTATTGATATTTTCTTTCATTTTTAATCTTAAATCATAATTTAAGAGTGAATTTGAGTGTAGGAGTGACCATTTAATCTGAAAGAGTTTGATCTTAAATCACCAGTTTCATTATTCTTGAAGAGAATGTGAAGAATGTGTCCTGTTCTGAGTTTTTGCCCTGTATTAACCCAGTTACAATTATCAAAGTCATTTTAAGTTATATATAAAGTTAAAAGAGGTAACTTTAAAATATCAAAATAATAGAGAAAAACTGACATGGTCACAGACCTACCTGAATAATGAAATAATGAAAATCACACAAATTCACTCTTAAAAAAGGGGGAATTAAACTTACTGCAATTTTGGTGATAAAAAAATATTTCTCATTTTATGTTTTGCTTTTTATACGGGGTTGATATTGCTTTATTATCTCATTAAATGACCTCTTTGGAAGGCTTGTTGACAAATAACCTTATTGTGAATTTGGTGTCAAAGTGTTTTGATCTCTGAAAAATCTTAAAATTAAACATCATTATTAGTTTGGATTAATACAATGTGTGCAGTTTCAAATTCCGGCACTGTTGACTCCAGATTTTCCCGTTTAAAGAAACTGCTCAGAGAAAAAAAAAAAATATATATATATATTTTTGCCAATGCTGTTTAAAGTGCAGATTGCAAGTAATTTAATCTAAAATGTGTAAAAAAAATTAAAAAAAAAACTTAGAAATTTTACATGAGCAGTTTTAAAAAGCACAAATTAGAAAAAAAAATTCTCTGTGAGCACTTTTGTCTCATATCTGAACACTTAAGGTTCAAGAAATGTTATCAAAATAATTTTTTCCCCCTGAAGTGTTTAAAGGGGTCATCGGATGCTACATGCACTTTTACAAGTTGTTTGAACGGAAATGTGTGTTGGCAGTGTGTACACAACCACCCTATAATGATAAAAATCCACCCAGTGTTTTTTTTAAATCTGGTTAAATGTTTTCCCCTTTCTCAAATCGAGCCGATCTCAGATGCCTGTCTGTGTGATGTCACACAGACAGGCCCCTCCCACGATAGTTTGATTGACAGTAGCGTTTCAGCACAGACTGGACTGGTGTCTTACCTTAGCTCCGCCCTGAGTGAGCTGTCATCAGTCCACCATTGTTTCACCGCCGGAGCAGATGTAGACAAGAATGACTCCTAAGCGATTGAGGTGTTTTGTTGTTGGATGTAATAATGAACAGCAGTCGTCATTTACTCCCAACATCTGAGCCGCTGAAGATGCAGTGGATTACATTTGTTTCTGAAGGGAATGCTCCCCCGATCTACATAAATGCGTTTATGTTCGCACGAATCACTCATGATACAGCCTCATCTACAGAAGTGAGTATAAGGTTTTTTAATGAATCTTTGCAAATCGTCTTTCCTAATAATGTGCTAATTAGCAAGTTGCACGATGAATGCGGCTAAAGTAAACACCTAAAGAATCATATCAACTTGTGGAAAATGGGCATCCTATGACCCCTTTAAGGATAACTAGAAACACAAATGTCTCTGGACATTAATTCACAGACCTTAAATCCCAATTATCACCCCCTTTAACTTAACCCACAAAAAATTGGAAAATGTTATTGTATTACACAATTTTATAGAATTAAAAATGAAATGTTATATATTCACTCTCGCTCTATGTATAATTTTATTTTTGAGTTCTGAAACATTTCTCCTGCTTTAAGGTTTTCAGAAGTATAGCAAAAGCTTGAAATGCTGGGAAAGGTTTTCTGCTGACAAATGAACTTGTGTCTTTAGTCCACTGCTACAAACATGGAGATTCATTCAGAATGATTGAGAACCATGAAGAGTTAAAGCAACTAACCTATTAAACCAGTTGAAGCAATTTGAAAACTATGCAACATGATTAATAAAGCAGTGTGTAAAGGATCCTAACTGTGGTGTGAAGTGTGTAAAATGGAAGCTGACACATTAATCTCGGCTCTCAGAAACCACATGATCATCACAGTCAGGACAGATACTGTGGTACGGTGAGTTTAATCATCATCTTCAATCTTCATCAGGTGACATTCAAGCACCAAACATGTCGAGTACAAAATATCAACAAGGTGAACGAGATCGGTCTAATGCCACGCACTAAATAATAACGTCTCAAAAAGAACCAGAATCCAACAAACGGGATAAAACTCGACCTGGAAACAGAGCGTGCAGCTCAGTCTATTTGACCAGTGGTCTGGTTTTATCATCGTCTCCACACTGATGCGCTTTATACTTTTTCACTTCTGCCATGTATTTAGTCCAGGCGTCTCCTTTCCCAGCCTCCACCTGCATCAACACACACACACACACACACACACAGATGTGTCACAGTTTACACAAAAATGTCAAGCAGCACAACTGTTTTCAGCATTGATAATAATTAGAAATGTTTCTTGAGAGCAAATCAGCATATTAGAATGATTTCTGAAGGATCACGTGACACTGAAGACTGGAGTAATGATGCTGAACACATTCAGATTTGATCACAGGAATAAATTACACTTTAACAGATTTTTCTCCATATAATGGACTTCAATGGGGATCAACGGGTTGAAGGTCCAAACTGCAGATTCAGTGCAGCTTCAAAGAGCTCGACAACATCCCAGCCGAGGAATAAGGCTCTTATCTAGCTAAACAATCGGTCATTTTCTTTAAAAACAAACACAAATGGCCGATCGTTTGCTAGAAGCTGCACTGAAACTGTCATTTGGACCTTCAGCCCGTTGGTCCCCATTGAAGTCCATTATCTGGAGAAAAATCCTGGAATGTTTTCCTCAAAAACCTTCATTTCTTTGCGACTGAAGACAGAAAGACTTGAACATCTTGGATGACACGAGGGCGAGTACATTATCAGGAAGGTAAAACATTTACTCCCCTCTCATGTTTTTTCGTGTATCTTTTTAATGTTAATGTTAATATAAATCATGCATTTTATGTGTGCAAGTTAACAGCCTTTCACTGGCAGTCCCTTATGAAAATAAACCATGTTCAACTATAGTATTTGTAGATTTCCATGGTTACCAGTAAGCATATTTTAACCATGTGCAAACAAAAATATAACCTAATAAGCTGCAATTAAGGCATGAATGGTAAAATGCGTTTCAAATATGAAGTTAAGTAGATATCACAACACATTTTACTCATATCAATTCATTTATTCAGTAACTGAAACGGTCTTCCATAAAACCGTTGGTCTGTCGCATAGCAATGGCCTTTTAAATCCAGAGTAGGGCTGGACAATAATTCAATATCAATATGTATCGTGATACATTTTTTTTCAATAACGCTGATATGATTTTTAAACACATTTCCGATATTTCGATATACATTACCAGAGTTTCCCATACACTGATTTATTTGTGGCGTTTGATTTCGTTGAATAAACATGAGCACTGCACGTTTCAAAACCAAAACACGTTGCGGGTGTTTTATATGAATGTATCTCTGAAGGGAATTTTTTTCATTTTTATCTGATGAAGCAGAGTTCGTGAGCGGAGCCGCTTTGATTACAGCCGTTACCGGGGAAACCGCTGTTTCTTCTGCTCTCAAAGCGCCTCCTGCTGGCAGACAATCAGTTTGCATTTTCAATAATAAGCCCGTCTCCAGCAACATGTTTTTGTTGTTGCTTTTTTTTTTTGGTTTTCTGCAGCAACTCAGAGCACTTTTCATACTCTTTATCCTGGCTGAAGCACATTTGTTTCAATCTATAAGAATAATCAGCCTACACTACCAGTCAAAAGTTTTTGAACAGTAAGATTTTTAATGTTTTTTTAAAGAATTCTCTTCTGCTCACCAAGCCTGCATTTATTTGATCCAAAGTACAGCAAAAGCAGTAAAATTTTGAAATATTTTTACTATTTAAAATAACTGTTATCTAAGTGAATATATAATAAAATGTAATTTATTCCTGTGATCAAATCTGTATTTTCAGCATCATTATTCCAGTCTTCAGAGTCACATGATCTTTCAGAAGTCAGTATAATATGCTGATTTGCTGATTATCAATATTTAAAACAGTTGAAAAAACTTTTTTTTCCAGGATTCTTTGATGAATAGAAAGATCCAAAGATCAGCATTTATCTGAAATAAAAAGCTTTTGTAACATTATACACTATACCATTCAAAAGCTTGGAGTCAGTATGATTTCTTTTTTTTTTTTTGAAAAATTATAGAAAATACTTTTATTCAGCAAGAATGCTTTAAATTGATCAAAAAGTGATGATAAAGACATTTATAATGTTACAAAATATTTCTATTTCCGATAAATGCTGTTCTTCTGAACTTTCTATTCATCAAAGAAACCTGAAAAAATTATACTCAGCAGTTTTCAACATCATAATAAACGTGTTTTTGAGCAGCAAATCAGAATATTTGAATGATTTCTGAAGGATCGTGTGACTGGAGTAACGATGCTAAAACTTGAGCTTTGAAATCAGGAATAAATTACATTTGAAAAATATTTAATAGAAAACAGTTATTTTAAATGTTACTGTTTTTGCTGTACTTTGGATCAAATAAATGCAGGCTTGGTGAGCAGAAGACAATTCTTTAAACACATTAGAAATCTTACTGTTCAAAAACTTTTGACTGGTAGTGTATGTCAGCCTATAGTTAAGTTAAAGATATTAATATTAATTAGGTGAGTCGGAGACGATTATTTGACAGTGATTTCACATTTCTTGTTTGTATGAAGGCTAAATACAAATAAAAGGTGAACATTAATTTATTTGTTCTGTTTTTTTTTCTTCTAAAATATTATATGGTTTTATATGAGGTGTCATAGACTTGGCAAATTCATTTTTCATAAGTTTGTATGCACAGACATCTGTTGTGGGCGTTCTTGGCAGTTTTTACGAGGCTTTTTTTTTTAAATAGTGTTCATATCATAGACTGTAGATATGAACTCACCCATAGATTTCTGAAGAGCGTTTTTGAAGCTCAAAAGTGGGCGGAGGCGGCCGTCGCCATCTTGGCCGCGCGTCACTCCCGGATAATCGAAAATGGGCAAAGAGGCGGGAGCTGGCTGCTGAAACCACGCCCACCTAGCTCGACGGTGGTGACAGCAGCGGCAATCCACCTGTCACTCAAGT